TCAAACCACATGCATTCAAACATGTGGATGAATGTTTGAGTGTCTGGCACCCTCATGAGAACTGCAGTTGAGCGGATGTTGTATTTTTATTTATTTATTTTTAAGAACAGCAAAGATACAATTTAAACATGATATCCAAATAATACAAATGTAACTAATAAACTAAATAAACTAAAATATAAATTACATAATCAAAATAAATAAAAGACAATTTCAACAGAACAGCCTTTACAATGACAATATAACCAGATGATTTAACCTACCCAACAGACAGCAAGTTTACTATTCAATTTACTTCAGCTCCTTTCCTTTGCAATTATCTTGACATGTCTTGCTATTAATATAATGGAGTGAGGCTATATATAAATGAAAATCTATAATAGAAACCTTTAAACAAGGTTTAGAGGTATTCAATCTACATTTCTGAACATGAAATTTACCAAATAAAATCAAAATAAATTCCACAGATAAATAGTTTGAGTAAAAAAAAAAAAACATATTTGGGAGTCAAATTACATCTAAAACCAGTTTTTTTTTTTTTTTTTTTTTTGGACATACAATATACAACAGTAAGTCTTCCTAAAACTTCTTTGAATGTTGACATTCATAAAAAAAACATGAACCAAAGACTCTGGATGATCTAAACATTCATTCATTCGTTTTCTTTTAGGCTTAGTCCCTTTAGTTTTACTAAATTTATCTAAATATATTTTTTCTAAAGTCTGCATAAATTTAGGTAATGTATAATTGCTAACATAAATGTTGTAAAGTATTTTTAAATGTAGTTGTTTACTACTTATGCAGAAATGAAAACGAAGCAACCAAGCTTTTTTCCACACAATATTTTCAAAACAAACATTCAAAAAAAATCCACTAGGCTTTAATAATAATCTAAAACCTTTGTTTGTACATGTTTTTTTTACTACAAAATGTTTTTACTATTTAGGTGATCAGTTCTATGAGTACTATATGAGGACATATGACTTCTCATTAGTTCGCAGATGTTGTAAACTTCCTGTTTTCATTAACGTTTACAGGATTTCCTCTTTTAAAACATTTGGGTCTTGTGGGTGCTAAGCCTCATGGGTAGGACCAGACAGAATCTGTAGATATTTTTTGCTAATTCTGCGCAGAATTTTGTAAAAGATCTGCAGATTTATGTGGAATGATTTTTGGGAGAATCAAAACTAAAAACTTAATATATTAAATTAAACAATAATTCACTTTTAACTCGTATTTAATGTCTACAATGCAAATCCAATTAGATACACTTATTTGATAAACAAAGCAAGTCTCTCATATAATATATCTACTAAAAGGCTGAAAATATTACTTTACAGACTGCATTGTAAATAAATCAACTGAACATTTTATTCATTCATTCATTCATTTTCATTTCGGCTTAGTCCTTTTATTAATTTGGGGTCGCCACAAATGTACCACCAATTTATCCAGCAGATGTTTTACGCAGCGGATGCCCTTCTAGTTGCAACCCCCCACTGGAAAATACCCATGCACACTCATACACTAATGACAATTTAGCTTATTTACCTATAGCGCATGTCTTTGGACTGTGGAGGAAACCGGAGCACCCCGAGGAAAACCACATTAACACGGGGAGAACATGCAAACTCCACACAGAAATGCCAACTGACCCAGCCGAGGCTCGAACCAGCGACCTTCTTGCTGTGAGGCAAACATGCTACCCACTGTGTCACTGTGCAGCCCTTGAACATTTCATATTAGTCAATAATACTAATGAAATTAATTTCAAAACTGAATACATGTACACACATTTGCACAAGTAAATAAATAGACTCTTTGATGGGATAAAAGTCCTCTTTAAAAAAGGAACCGTCATCTGGGTTAAAGTAAGAAAATTAACAGCAAATATGTTTTTTGACAAATCTCTTTAAGCAAAAACATTAAAAATCAACTACAATGCATCGTATTTAGTGACCTCTTAAAATTCATAACCACAGTCCACATCACTCGACTTGTGTTATAAAACAGCTGCCTGTTTATTCATAGAGGATCATTTATCCAGAGCATGAAAGGCTTAAACTAGCACTCTACTACATAGCTTTACTTAGTAGACATTCACAAAAGTACAATCAATGTTAAAATTAAGAACAATATTGCAATAAAATATTTCACACTGTTTTCACACAAGCTGCTTCACACTCAAGAGTTTGACACTGAGATCCTGATACGTGATAAAAAGATACTGTTATATGAAAAAGCCATGTGTGCAAATAGAAAAAAAGACATATTAAATTATTAACATTAGGTTAATTAAAGGACATAAAACATGTATTGCTAAAACTTTGGACATAATTTATTATTACTATTATTATTTTTAATATTATTATTATTATTATTATTAATATAACTCAAAAAATGTAAATTATATGAAATTATGATATATCTGATACATTACACATGGCAACATTTATATACAGCAGGTAAAATAAATACTAAACATGTCATTTTTCTTTGTATATGGATTATTTGCCTGTTGCCAACATCTGGTGAAAATGTCAAGTCAACAGCATGTCCAATACTTATTTTACCCATATATACAGTTCAAGTCAAAATTATTTGCCCTTCCCTGACTTTTTTATTTTGTATTTTTATATTTTCCAAATGAACAGAGCAAGACATTTTTACAGTATTTTTTATAATATCTTTTCTTCTGGTGAAAGTCTTTTTTGTTTTATTTAAGCTAAATAAAACAAAATATTTTAGGGTCAATAATATTAGCCCCCTTGAGCATTTTTTTCCATCCTCTACAGAACAAACCATCATTATACAGTGACTACATGACATAATTCACTTTAAGCTGAATACTACCCAGCTGGCACAGGGCGTCATCCTGACGTCAGATTGACATTGTACCCCAACGTCATAAGACATTGCATTTTGTTTGGAAATGAAAATTGGGTTGATGTCAGAACCCAACATCAGGCCAACGTCAATGTCGGACAGATATTGCATTTTGGTTACTTTTCAACACCACCTAAAAACAACCAAATATCAACGTCTAATAATGTTACAGCTTAATGTTGTGTGGATGTTACCACTATGACGTCTATCATACATTGGATTTTGGTTTCCACACCTGACAAATAAATGTCAGTATTTGACGTAAATTTGACAGATTTTGGTCACTTTCCACCCTTACTAAAAATAACTGCAGTTAACTGAAGTAAAACAATAGCAGTATGTAGAAATATAACTGCAGTAAATTAAGTACAAAAAAGTTCAACAGCAGTATAAGCTGCAGTAAAATGGAATGAAAACAAGTAAACTCCGTCTTTACTGCACTTGTGCTGCTGTAGTCTAATATGCCAATGGTGTGGTAAGAACTGAACTGCACTTTTGTTCAGAGTTTTTTTTTCAAAAAGAGTTTATTTGCAAAATGAATAATAAAAAATAACTGCAGTAAACTTAACAGTACAAAAGCAGTAGCCTATATACAAGGATAACGGTGACCAAATTCAATACAACTGAGAAATCGCAGTATAATGAGGTATAACCACAGTTCAACTGCAATACAATAAAGTTCAACAGCAGTAAAATCTGCAGTACAACTGAAGTAACATTAAATAAACTGAGTGGGGCAATATAATGATGCTATATAATTTGCACTTAGGTACATAAGTATTAAAAGTGCATTTTAGTTTTACCATATATTGCAGATACATGTAGATGATTGTAGATGTATTTCTCTAGATAGTCATACTTCTGAAAAGTGCAATACAATATATTGTGGTAGTACTTCAGCAATACAACTGCAGGACTGAAACCTTATTTGAGAACCATCGTCCACCGAGCAGGGAAAGTAGTATTTGTACTGCAGTTGTATTGTAGAAGTACTTTAGTTGTATTGCAATAGTGTATGTCAGTTGTACTGTTGTAGTACTTTAGTTGTATTGCAGTAGTTGTACTGTAGTTGTACTTCAGTTGTATTGCAGTAGATGTACTGCAGTTGGTTGTATTATAGTACTTCAGTTGTGTTGCAGTTATACTGCACTATGCTTAAATTAGGCAGTTTTTGTGTCCAAAAAACTGCACATTTCAGAAGTTAACTAAAACTGCAGTATTCCTTTAAGAAGCTGCAGTATTCTGTTAAAAAACTGCAATAATTTTTATAAGGGCAACACAACCTAAAATCAACCAAATATCAACGTCATTTCACATTATTATTGAATGTCAAAATAACATTGTCATTAAGTGCTGGAGACCTAAATCTAACCTAATATTAATGTACTATGATGTTGTATGTCTTCTGGGTAGTATCTTGAAAACATCTAGTAAAATATTACTTACTATAATCAATAACCATTGAAGACACGAGACCAACCCAGGCTCATTCTGAAAACGTACCTATATATACATTTCTGGAGGCCACGAAAAACATCCCAGAAGGTACGTATTTTTGCAGTTTTTGTTTTCGCAAACCCACAAGAGGCTGCTGTGTACGCTTTTTCAGATCTCAAATTTCTCTTGCAAATGCCATTCGCGCCTGCTATTCTCGCATAAACCCACCAGAGGCCGCTGTAGACTGACTGTTTGACTGACTGACTGACCGACCGACCGACCAATCGACTGACCCACCCTCATCCTTCCCTAAACCCAACCAATTTTTTTCGATTGACCCATCCATTTCCCTTAACCCAACCAACAATTTTCAAAAACAATCTAAAAAAAGAAAAGACCTTGTTGGATTTTTACCACGTTTTCAGATTTTACCATATTCTCACCCTGTTATTAACTTGCGTATTTATTTATTTTTTTTATTTTTTGAAATCTGTTTTTGTCTTACCCGCTTTCTAGTACAGGAGCTAATCATCTACCGCTACATGGCAAATAAAGCCCGCCTTCCAGTAGAGGAGCCAATCATCGATCGCTATATGGTGAATAAAACCCGGCTTCTAGTACAGGAGCCAATCATCGATTGCTATATGACGAATAAAGCCCGCCTTGTAGTACAGGAGCCAACCATCAATCGCTATATGGCGAATAAAGCCCGCCTTCTAGTACAGGAGCCAATCATTGATCGCTATATCGCGAATAAAGCCAGCCTCCTAGTACAGGAGCCCATCATTGATTGCTAAAGACTGACGATACTCCAGGGGATGGGCTTGGACCAGACGTGAGTTTCTGCAGATTTTGTGTGATTTGGACGTTTAGAAGTGAAACTAAAGAGAACCATGTTGTTTAATTTTAATGATGAGTCCTAACATGAAATTCAAACGTAAGCTTGGCAAGCAATTTTGAAGAATTTGATGTTTTCCCATTTAAACAGAATGCCCATGCCTACTGCACGAGTGCTGTTTCAAAGATAGCCGCCAAGTGAAATGACTTGCCTTAAAGGGACTTTGCTTTAATCATGGCAAAGATAAAATAAATCAGTTATTAAAACTATCATGTTTAGAAATGTGTTGAAAACACCTTCTTTGTGTTAGACAGAAATCAGGGAAAATATACAGGGGTCTAATAAATCAGGAGGGCTAATCATTCTAATATAAAATTGATGTTGTTGTTTTTTAAACCCATAAACACTTGCTACTATCAGTGTAGCACTTCTGGTTTGATGAGAGTGGTGAATTACACAGCCACACTGTTTGGGATTCTGTCTGGAGACAGATAGTAGTAAGGCAGCTTCTTTCCCTCATTTCGATTCTTGATGGTTTTGCTCACTTCTGCAAGTTTCTTGCCAAATTTCACCATGACCTCTTTCACCGGTTTCTCAATAAAGTGTTCATCTGGATACATGCCTAGGAACAACTGCAAAAAAAAACAACAACAACACTTTTAGTACCTGTTATAGCACAATATAATGTATGTATTGTGTAATAGGGTATATGCGAAACTAGTGTTTCTTCCCATACTGATAAACTTCCAGTGAACAGTTAATGTGACTTTTTTCCATTTTATTAGGTTCCTTTTACAGCATCGATGTTGTAATGTAATTTAAATACATTCAGTTAAATAGATTTTGGCATTCATTTAGTTCAGGGCTGGCCAACCCTGTTCCTGTAGAGTCACCATTCCGCAGATTTCAGTTGCAACCCATATTAAACACACCTGCCTGTAATTATCACGTGGTGTTCAGGTCCTAATTAATTGGTTCAGATGTGTTTGATATGGGTAGCAACTGAAATCTGCAGGAAGGTGGCTCTCCAGGAACATGATTGGCCACCCCTGATTTAGGCCATACTCACACTAGGTACGGGCCCCGTTTACACTAGTGCGTTTTAGTTTTAAAACGGCGTTGTAGAATGAAAACGATCCGCGTCCACACTCGCGTTTTACCCAGCGTTTCTGAACAGCTCTCCGTCCACACCAAAACGCTGAAAACCCACATCACGTGACCACACACACACTCTCGGGCAAGCGCTCCAGCATTTCTACCCAGATGAGAGCTCTGCTTGTCGGACTGCTCATCACGCATCTCTCGCTGGAACTAATCTCACTATATTTGCTAAACGTGATATTTCATTCATGTTGTTGTCTTTATCTAACGACATAGGCCAATTCCCTGACTTTGGTCATTGACATCTATTAAGTTACTTGTTCACGGGTAACATGTTTTGGTTAAGCGCAAAGATAAGTTAATGATTAATCCAGGTACATTTTTATCTTTATTTCCTACAATGTATAAACTTATTGTATGTTATACTTTTATAATTATCGATTATTAAAACTGATATTCAGCAAAAGAGAGGGTGCGTTTCGTATTTTCACTGAAATTGAAAGGAGGCAGTTGTTATCGGCTCCGTTTTGTTATAAATATCCACACAGTGAAGATGACGCTCATGCAGCACGACGCCTCAACATTTCTGCTGTCTGTTAAGTTGCTAATATTAAAAAGAAAATAGGCAGTTCCTTATATCATGTTTACATTTTATTGTTGAGAAAGTGAAACAACGTAGCCAAGGTGATGTGAATGAAGTTATAAAGTACACTGTTCCCTTTGAAGATTTACCCGTGTCCTCGGTATAGTCTGTTTTCCATATCAAACTGAGAAGGGGGAGACTGCAGCCTTGATCAAACTTGCGAAGTCTTAACTTACAAGAAGAGGATGCGAGACTGAACTGTGTGTGGGCTACTTAATATTGAGGAAAAGCCCCAATCAGATAGGCGAACGTTTGCAGCCCCGCCTCCGTTTTCAGATGTCTCTGTCTTTCCCCATCCACACTGAGACGGAGCAGCAGCGTTTTAGAATGAAAACGGCCTCTCCAGCGTTTTCAAAAAGCTCCGTTTTCGGCGCTCGAGAACTCCGGCGTAGTGTGGACGGATGGCGTAACCGTAGCAAAACTTATGCGTTTTCAAACTAAAACGCACTAGTGTAAACGGGGCCACAGTTGCCTCGAACCGGGCCAAAGTACGCTTGTCCCCCCTCCCGTCTCCCCCAACGGCCCGCACTCACACCAAAATCGGGCCTCGGCACACTTTCGTCATCGCTGCTGCACTGTTCTGTGAGAAGCGCTCTCACTCAGTAGCACAGTGGAGATTTCTCTAGTTATAGCGTTTCAGTTGTTTAATATTCAGTGACATGCAGTCAAATATGTCACCGAACAGATCCGCCACTTTTGGCGCTCATAAACAATCAAAGCCCCCGTGCTGCAGGAATGAGGAGGTCTGCTGAAGGTGCGCAGCTGTCGTGCAGTGAGGAGTTTGCGTATTTAATAAACTACGGCAGTTTGCGTTCACTGAACAGTAAGTATGATTAATAAATCCATATGAAACAGTCTCTTAAAAGTCACAACTCGCTTTCAGTTTCAGGCTTGTGAGCCCGATTCAGCTCACTCAAACTTCTCAAACAATCCGGGAAACGGGCCTGGGCATGGTACGGATGGCATAGTGTGAGTAGGCCCTTAGTTGCTCAAGCATTAAATGAGACAAAAAGCCTTTTACTTGCACGCACTCGTCAGAACCGGCAGGTTAGCGCAGAAGCTCTATTGAAGATACTGGGGTAAAATAAATGTTCATATTTTAACGACATGGCAAGGAAAAAATTAATTTAATGGAGTGCAATCGGATATCACTCAGCCAGTGGAGATCATGGATTTTTAAAGAAAACAGACCTTAAACACGCCAATTTTGTAATGGCATACAGTTCAAGCGCTTAACCCAGGTTACTGCCAAGTTCAAAGTCTTTTAGCATTACCCTGTATTATGTTTTAAGCAGATAAGCACTTAGCCCAGACCTCATTTTCTTGAAACTGACTGAGGGCCCAAACAGCTCCCAGATGCCAACAGGAGCGTCCTCGGTCAGGCAGACTCTCCACTATATACTGTAAGTCCACCTCGCCTTTCTTCATAGGAGGAGGTTTCCGCATGGTTGGTGGGGAGTTTGGGATCCATGAACACCAGTCATACTAAAGTAAAGTATCAGAGCATGGATTTTAACCTATAGGAGATTTTTTTTCCATTTTTCTTGCAACAAAATATGGCAGAAATATACTTTCACCTGGCCAAAGTTTACTGCAGCGTGTTGTGCAGAGGCAGTAAAGATGACGACAGTTAGATACTCCACCAGTTCCTCTTTGGTTTGCAAACTCTTGGGAAATTCTGAAAATAAAAAAAAAAACGTGTCATCTCTAAAGGGCCATTTAGAGGTTAAGCACATTTACATTCCTGAGAACACAGTCTGGCCTGAAACCAGGGGCGTAGCAACAGAGGGGGCGGGGGATGGGTCACTTTTAGAGACAGAGCATGTACAAACAGGTGATTAAAAATGTAAACTTTCAGATTTCATACAGCTGACCAACCCCCCACTCCACCCCAATCCACCTTCAAAATGTCCACTACGCCCCTGCCTGAAACTATGATTTATTAGTTTGCTAACTAAAGATCTGAGGTTAACTGAAAAGTTAACTGAGAAAGAAACTGTTAAGCCACTCTGTTTAAAACTTTTTTTTCATGAGCTTGGCCTGGAGCCAACCATTTGTAGCATTTGAGACAGGTCAGACACATAGTCATTTGCTCTATTCTATTTAGATATTATACTCCACAAGCAAGCCTTCTGTTCTAGTCCCCATTAAACAAGCCTGCACTAGCCCTTTATGGTACCAATTAGGGCTAGCCTAAGGGCACCCAGCGCATTTTCTGGTTTTTTTTTTTTTTGGTAATTCAAAGATGATGTAAAATAGTCTAGAAGATCACCCAGAGACGGATTGTGGATTGCTCCTATATTTTTTTAAAGTTTGCATTTCAATCCGTCTACTGAAATTAAACACCAGCATTTTCTAGTTCATAGGCTTGAGAATGCCAACATACTACTCAATAAACTTCTGCTTCTTAGACTATTTTAAGAACTCATCTCCTCATAGACCGTTCATACTACAACCACCAAACAATCTCCAAACTGTACTGAATTAGGTTGCTATATCTTTTCCAACTGATCTGACTTACGGTTTTCTGAAAACTAACCCGGAAATTCAGAAAAGTCCCATTGACTTAACCTTAGACCAAACTTTGTGACCTCATAACTTTGCGCCAGATTGTCATAAAGGCTGCATCCGAAACCGCCTACTACTCAGTAGGTACTGCTTTTGAATTTAAACGTACAACTCGGCCGTTAGAAAAGTACATTCTATACAGTATGAATGTGAAAAGTATGAATGGAATTCGGACGTACTACATCCGCCATTTTGTCCTGGTCACGTGACCTACCTGTGTCAATTGCGTTGCTTTACTCCCATTCATGAATTCGCTCGCGGGGCATCATGGGATAGCGCAGCATGCATGGGATGCGCACTCTAGAATCTCGCCGGAAGTAGTAAGTCATCCGGGTTCTTCTCGCATACTGATTTTCGAATTCTATGAATTTGGACATTTCTTCAGCTCGCATACTGATTTTAGCGTACTATATAGTATGGAAGTATGCGGTTTCGGACGCAGCCACAGACTTAATGTTGGGCTCATTTAACTCAGACTGCCAATCACTGGCCACCATTCAACTTACTTAGCACACCCAAGCAACCGCTACGTCACCCTAGCAACTGTCCCATAGACTACCATTATGAAAAACTGCCATTGACTTTACATTTGGACATACTAACAACATACCAGTTTATACTAACAATATACAAATCCACAGGCTAATAATAATATACTAACAAACATACTAATCATACTAGCAACATGATAATTCATACTATAAACATATACTAACAGCATGCTAATTCATACTATAAACATATAGCAGCATGCTAATTCATACTATAAACATACTAGCAACATGGTAATTCATACTATAAACATACTAGCAACATGCTAATTCATACTAGTAATATACTAATCCATACTAGAAACATACTAACAAACATACTAATCATACATACTAGCAACTTGCTAATTCATACTATAAACATACTAGATGCTAATTTATACTATACTAATTTAAACATACTAGAAGCATGCTAATTCATACTTTAAACATACTAGCAGCATGCTTATTCATACTATGGTTGATGTCACGGATACTACGTCCATAACTTTTACAGTCTATGTAAATATCAAACTGACTGAATATGACCTAAAACAACAGACAAAACAAAAACAAAACAAAAAAAACAAAAACAAAAAGCAGCTAAGTTTTAGAGGACCAGCTTAATAAAAGCAAAATTCAAAGATGAAAATGACTTCCCCGGGTTTCCTCTCTCAATCATAAACAGGAGAAAATACATACAAAAGAAAATAAGGATCTCACCCTTTAGATACACTTTGAAGTTACAAATTGACTACACAAAAAAAACACCATGCTAAAAAAGATACATTGTGGATGTATTTATCATATAAATATTTTAAAATTGGAATCAATTAATCATATATTTTAGCATTTCTGTGTGGAGTTTGTATTTTCTTCCCGTGTTAGCATGGGTTTCTTCCGAATTTTAAACTGTCCGTAGTGTTTGTGTGTGAATGAGAGTGTATGGATGTTTCCCATTGATGGGTTGCAGCTGGAAGGGCATCCGCTGCGTAAAACATATGCTTGATAAGTTGGCAGTTCATTCCACTGTGGTGACCCCAGATTAATAAAGGGACTAAGCTGAAAAGAAAATGAATAAATGATAAATTATTTATTTTATTATGAGAACACGGTTCAAAGAATTTGGAATACCAAAGATGCCAGATTAGTGTGGATGCCAAGCATTACCATAGCAAACCATAACCAAAACAAAAATGCAGTAGTGTTAATGGCTCTGGCAAGTATGCTCATTGGCAAAATGTTGTGCTATAGGTGCTTGCTCTGAATGGGCAGCCCTCCCTTAGACCTCAAAAAAACCTCACTTGATCCACACTGGTCCTAACACTCAAAATGGGAGTACAAATGATCTATACACTATAAAATATGTAAAACTAATACAAATAAAAAGAAATACTAAATAATTAATTCAACCACAGTGAAAAATGTGTTTTGGTGCGCTTAAAAATGCATTGGCAAAGCTCATTCCTCCCTTTTACAAGTTGGCAGATGGTGGTAGTAGTCCTTTCATCGAATGGGAAATGGGCTGCCTATACAAAGCCTGCATGGGCCCAGAAAAAAATGCTCTGGGTCCAAAATGGATGGTCATCATGCGATTAATGTGGGGTGTCTGCTAGTGTGCGCTATTCACAATGAGCTGTGGGCCAAACCTGGGCTAGCCCACACTGGGCCTGCTTACATTTGCTATGGGATAACCATGGACCACTGTGCCTGAAAAAAGCCAGTATATGCCCTGCAGGAGCATGTTAACCCCAAGCCTTATTAGCTCAGCTCAAAACAGGTCAAAGGTAACTATGATAACATCTACATAAGAGGGTTTACAGCCTAAAGAATCTCTGAAGCTGCATTTAATCCATTATGCATTTTTTGTAATTAAATAGTGTTTTTAAATGTAAATGCTCTTCGTCCAGACTGGCGTTTGTCTCCATCCATGCTATACATTTTAAAATACATGACGATTTACACATATTTTGTGAGTGTAAATGGTCATATGTGCATATTTTGCTACCAACCATACTTTTAGTCTACCGGTTGTGTAATGTTCATGAGAGGGGCTTGAAGAATTGGGCAACAACAGAGGGAATTGGGGTCCAGAAAACCAGCCAGAGAGTGATTGTGGATAGCCTCGCCCCCATTTTCAAAAGTCTGTTTAGTCTGTCTATACAATGGCTACTGAAGCTTGTACTGTCTGTCTGAAAGCTACATGAAATTTTCCATCTAGTATACCATCGTATTGTTTTTGTTTTACTATATTTGAAAACATCAGAAGTGTTTCAATGCAGTTATAGGTCACAGATATGACGGATTCTGTATCTTCTGATCTTTTGGGACGTTGTGATTTGTTCCAGATGCAGTAACGTATGTCAAATGCTGTATGGGCCTGATTAGAATGTTGTCACATCTTACATAGAAGTTAAACCTGAAACATGTCCTAAACACTAACCCTAACCACAAATGGTTTTCTTAATAAGTGAATCATTGAAACACTGATTTGTTCAAACACACTGACAATGCAGTGTGTTCCATTCTTTAAAATTGATTACCCCTACTAAATGGAATGGGCTGTTTAACACCAATCAACCTCCCTCTGCAAAGAATCATGAGGGCCCATCCAGCATTTGTCTTCACAAGTGATTCACTGAATTATTCAACCGATTTGTGGAATTGAATTGAAATGAGTCGTACCAAAATATCATGTTGACTGAAACCCAGATTAAGCAGAACGCCTTCATGGCATTATGCAATTTTTAATATAATTTTAAGTGAAGCTTATTTAGAAACTAATTTAAAGAGGATCACATGCTTATGATTGCTTGCGGCTGGTCCCGCATTATTCAATTTATGATTCACTAATTAGACAATTCCTAAGCCACCTTAAATACCCTTAAGTGCCATAACAGCCATCTTCATTTTGAAGAATCCCTCCTTCCACCCCTACTGCTCCTCCTCCTTTCCTAGATGGGTGGCACGGTGGCTCAGTGGTTAGCACTGTTGCCTCACAGCAAGAACGTCACTGTGTGAAGTTTTCACATTCTCTCCGTGCTCACGTCGGTATCCCCCGGGTTTCCCGGTTTCCTCCCACCGTCCAATACATGCAAATTAATTGACTAATTGACTAATCCAAATCAGCACTACAGACATGCAACTAGTAAGTAGTTATCTCTCAAGAGCAATCACTATCTGTTCATAAGCTACTACAGCAGGGGATTTCTTGAGATCTACCTGAGCTCTAACTCCCCTCTCACCTTGCAAATGGGAGGGAGCCCCGGGCTCGAGGATCTTATGAGCTCAGGGCTCTCTCCTATGATAGCATGCTAAAAAAGATTTATAGTCAATCATCAGCTAATGTGAACTCTTGAAGCATGTATTTACCACAATGGTCCAAATCCTGCATTCCAAAGCTGCAAACATCTTTGACAAACGCCTGGATCTCTTCATCCTCCTGCACCGTTTCATCTTTGTCATAGTAGATGTCAACAACATCGGACACAAAACTAGAAGAACATTGATATACGTCATATTCATCATATTATTAATCATTAAAAGTTTTTTTTTTTAGCTGTGCAACATACCTTTTCACAGTCTCCCAGACCGCGCAGCCATCATCTCTGTAGAAGTAGTATGGCAGTTCCTCCTGGCTGTCCATGCCTCGTGCTTTTATATTCTCTGGGAAACACAAGGACTTGTACGTGAAGACCTTCATGGACCTCTGGACAAGTTCTATGTGTCCACCTCCACCTGTCCCATTAGCCTGTAAGACACACAGAGAGAACCCATAGGCAAAGAGTTGCATTTGTGTTTTAGAAAAGAATTCTAATCTCAGTTGAATGGATGTCTGTGTATTGGGGCTGCAGGATATTGGAAAAATCTGACATTGCGATATTTTGTTTTACTGCGAATCAGCGATTTATATTGTGACATGAATACAATTTCATCAGATTCAAAAATTAAAAGTGCAGTAGGTGATTGTCTTCAGAAACATTTTTTGTTGTGCTGGTTGAAAGTCTCTTCACATTCCAATAGTAATGATTAAAGTGAATGATCTAAATGTGTTAATTTGTATTTTTATATTCTGGATAAGGCATAAAACAATATTGTCGGACCGACAAATAACTCAATTACGACAGGTTTCTTAAACTGTCTGTCAACAAATTTATATTAGAATTTCTACGCAGCCTCTTTTAGCAGACAGATACGTCACCCGCGCACACACGTGAAGCACAGATCTACCGCTGACAGAGAGATGTCATCAGGCAAACTCTACATCAACCTGAACTTCTTTCTGAACAACCAACATGGGCTTGTATCCATGAAAAGAAAGATTGTTTCTAAAAGGGCTTCTCCCAAAAATGCAGAATCAAAACTTTTCTAAATCCTGAAGCAAAATCGGAATTACTTTTGCACGCTGGAGGGCAATGACGTTATGCAGTTCAAAACAACCACAGCTGAAATATTACTTTTAGACAGGTATGTTTTAAAACTATTTTAGTCACGCAAAGCTTATGTAGATTGTGTTCTTGTTTATAAATGGGTTTATATGCACGGAAGTGTTGTTCAGATTGGCTATTTTCAAATTCATGGTGTACCTTTTATAGCATTAATAATATGTATAGTCGGGCGACGCGGTGGCGTAGTAGGTAGTGCTATCACCTCGCAGCAAGAAGGTCGCTGGTTCGAGCCTCAGCTGAGTCAGTTGCCGTTTCTGTGTGGAGTTTGCATTTTCTCCTCGCGTTTGCATGGGTTTCCTCCGGGTGCTCCGGTTTCCCTCACAGTCCAAAGACATGCGGTACAGGTAAATTGGGTAGGCTAAATTGTCCATAATGTATGAGTGTGAATGACTGTGTATGGATGTTTCCCAGAGATGGGTTGCAGCTGGAAGGGCATCTGCTGCATAAAACATATGCTGGATAAGTTGGTGGTTCATTCCGCTGGGGTGACTCCAGATTGATAAAGGGACTAAGCCGAAAAAGAAAATGATTGATAATATAGTCGGTTAAACAGACCTGAGCATTCATTTAGTTGTTTATGTGAAAAAGGAGATGAAAACAAGCGTTGTACGAGGATGAGTGAGCACAATTGAAAATGAAAAGTCACTGGTAATGTAAATGTAAGTGTAATGTAAGAAAGATGACAGGATATTTTTGTTTTAAGCACAGTTTTTTTTTCTGATCACTGTTTGAACAAATCAATCCTTCACCCATAAAGAGTCACCACCTACTGGAGTACTAATATGAGAAAAACTGAAAATCATCCAACACAAATGCACTGGCAGTCTGAAGACCACATCACATCACATACCACCAAGATTGTGTCTAAAAAACAGGGCCTATAAAAAAATCATCATCCCCTTTGAAATAATGTATTTAATTATCATATAGTGTGAAATCAAATCACATTCCAAATAACCTATCCAGCCTTTGAAATAGTTTTGTAGTCTTCTCCTAACCTGTGCCTTTCTACAAATTTCTTCTGGGTTCTTTTGAAAGCAGGGTGTCATTCATTCATTCATTCATTCATTCATTTTCGGTTTAGTTCCTTTAATAATCTGGGGTTGCCACAGCGAAATGAACCGCCAACTTATCCAGCATATGTTTTACACAGCAGATGCCCTTCCAGCTGCAACCCATCACTGTAAAAGCAAAGCAGGGTGTAATGTGAGTAAATATATAGAATTTCACAGCGTATGATGATTTTTTATAGGCATTGTATGAGTTTTTAATTACATATTCATTTTGATTAACTGTTTGTGATATTGTAAAGTGTAAATAATGATTCAAACCCTCTAGCATGTTAAATAACTGTAATTAGTACTGATGCTTTTAAAATACATTTTTTATAGTGACAAAGTGCAACAAACATGAAAGAAATTTATTAAAAGCCAAAGTATACGCTCAATTTAATACACACAGGCTTGCATTCAGTGCATGCAGAATATTACGTGCACTAGCTGCTCAAACACATATTTTATACACACAGCTTGCATGTGCATCGGAAATATTAGATTATACTACTGGAGGAAGTGAGAGAAAAGCTGACCTTGTCAAAGAGTCCACACTCACAGATGAGCTGCTCACGAGCCTTGGTGTTAATGGCAATGGTGAAACGGATGTGTGGTAACAGCAGCTAGAAGAACAGGAGGTGGCATTTAAAAATGTGTGCTCAAACATGCATTTAAACTCACACCATCATTTGGCTATTTGGCAAAAACAAACCATGCCACACATTCAAAAGTCACTTAAAGAGATTTTCAGCCAAAAATGAAGAGTCTACAATCAAATTCTCACCCGTTACTTATTTCAAAACAATGATCTTCTGTCTTCTGTCGAACACAAAAAAGATATTTGGCATTTTGGTCTTTATAATATCCTTTTATTATCCACAATACACTCCAATCCTCTCTTTTACCCTTCTCTCTTGGACATTGCCTATGCCTCATGGATAGACCTTGGATTGGCTTCTGTTGGTGAACTTTACATTGATAGTGTTTTTGCCTCTTTTGGTCAGTTGGCATCTCAGTTTAAAATTCCTAAAGCTAATTTTTTTCAGATATTCATAAATTTGAGATTTTGTGCACAAAAAAAAAAAAAAGTCAACTTTCCTAATGTACCTCCTGCTTCAGATCTACACCATACTGGGCATAGATCCCTGTGCTAAAGGTTCAATTTTGAAATTATTTAATCGAATTGTTAATCTGCAATTTTCTTCTGATAACTTACCATCTAGTCTCAAGACATTGGAAAGGACATTAAGAGGAGACATGGAAAGTGGTGTTGAACAGGTTAATATATATAGGGTATATACAATACAAATAAAACTCAACTATTTAGTCTCCACTTCACTTCCTAATCTTCAATTGCCTCTCTGGATATACCACTAACTGTACTCAAAAAAAAAAAAAACATTACTAATACTTTCCTTCTTAGACTTTACAGACCTGAAACTTGCCTATAGCACTTATTCATTGTTGCTCTTATAGTTGTGTAAATTGCTTCCTTGTCCTCATTTGTAAGTCGCTTTGGATAAAAGCGTCTGCTAAATGACTAAATGTAAATGTAAATAAATTAAAACGTTTCAAGCCATATATAACTTTCATTATACAAAGGCCTATCTGAAAAAAAGATTTCAGATATTTTCTAGAAAACAATAAACAACAGAGTTTTGAAATATTATTTATGAAGTATTTGGATACGATGATATTAATCAAATCGTGCAAAAAGGGCATTTTTTGGGGAGAGTGAAACCATCAGAAACTTTTCAAATTTTCCTCTCGTTGTAGTCAGCTATTACCACTGTTGATATTCCACCTTGTCCAGTTATTAGAAACTTTTGATATAAATCAAATCGTCAAATATTAATCAAATCGTGCAAACAGGGCATTTGTTGGGGAGAGTCAAACCATCAGAAACTACTTTTCTGTCATCCAGTCCTGCGCAGTGCTGCTTTATGAACGGATTGGGAAAAACTGCAAGTAAAAAACAAGTGTTTATGTTTTTATATGACGTGTTAAAATTTTTAAATGAAACTTTAAATGTAGAGCTGCTGAGCACAACGATATTTAGGCTATATTGTATTACTTGCTCTTATGTCCTGAAACACAACACTTTTCTTTACTTAAGATAAAGATCAAGATCAAATTATATGCAACATCCTTAAGTTATTCTTTTAAATAAAGGGGAATTACCTATTGAGTGTCATATAGCCTAGGAAAAAGTGTATATGTTTTAGGTCTCTACAGAGCATTTGGGCTGAATGTTTAACGGCGTCTATCAAAACGAGGATGTTATAAATACATTTTAGACCGAGTTATTACCCGAGAATTTCTGTGCTTTTATATTATGGATGGTGCGCTGGGTCCCTCCATTAGTGGCAAAACCACTGAATGCATGATGCCAACAGTCAGTCGGAGAGTAGCCTAAACAAATGTAATAAATGAAAATAAATAGGCCTGTGCCTGTGGACATTTAATGTGCTGCTGTACAGTAACGTGTCATTTGTTTGTTTTGGTTGTCTTTATTTTAATCGTGATGATGCGATGGTGTGCTTTATCTGCCTGAATCCCACTGAACTGGGAAGGCTTTGTGACATTTGATTCGAGGGGACAATCTGGGGGCAGGTTTGCATAACGCACTGCAAGCTACTAGCCCGACAGTGGAAAAGCAACATGATTTTGGTTTCACTGCTTAACCTCCCAGTCGATTGGCCCGGCCTGGCCTGATAAAAGCCCTGGCTCGCACTGGCCTGAAAGTGGAAATGTGGCTATATAATTCCCACCCCCTACTCATAGCTTGGTACTGGACTTAGTTCTGGTCAGCCCATTGCAGACCTGTATTTTCTGTAAATAAGATTGTACTAGTGTTTTTTACTTTGTTATTTTTTTTTATTTTATTTTGTTTGCTTTTCTTCAGTGTATTTGTTTACTGTTACATGTTTATGTTGTCCTTTTTGTATATTTTTGAAATGTGTTTTACAATGTAGAAATAAAACATTAAAAAAGAAGATATTTTGAAGAATGTTAAAAACATGTAACCATAGACTTCCATAGTGTTTTGTTTTTTCACACTATAGAAGTCAATGGTTCCGAAAAGGTTTCCAACATTCTTCGAAATTGTCACGGTTTTGCAGGTTTGTGCGCTTTTCCGGAGTGTCTGTTTGATCACGTGAGTTTGTTTTGTTTTTGTTGTCCACGTGTATTTGTTTTGGTCATGTGCCATGACGGCACTCAGCTGGTTTGATTCGCTCGCCAGCTGAGGCTCATTATCGTGCCTATATATGGGCGACATTTTCTATGTTTCCTTGTCGGTTCGTTACATGTGCTTATGTGTGTGTTTGTATGTGCTCGGGACCATGAAGAGAGACCACTGGACCCTGTTCTCCTGTCTGATCCCTGCCCTGTTTTCTCCTGATCCTAGCACCACACTCATTTCTTGTATTTATTTTGACTGTGTCAAATAAATCCTTCACTTGGATCCCTTCTGAGTATTATTTGACTGTGACAGAAATATCTTTTTTTGTGTTCGACAGAATAAAGAAACCATTTGAAGTTGAATAAATAGTGTGTAAATGTTATTTTTTTGGGGTGAACTATCTTTTAAAATATATATTTTTCTCCACCAGTTTAAACTTCAGTAGATCACCATGATCATGTCTCCACACGGATAAATGTATTGAGTTGCTCCCATATGATTGGCTTATTAAATATTTGCATTAACAAGCATTTAAACAGTTGTACCTAATAAAGTGGCCAGCAAGTGTAGAATAGAAACAATATAGAAATACATTACCTTAAAAACAGGATGAACTGCAGGCAGCTGTCTGAACATGGCTATGCCAAAGACCTCAGAAATCAGATGCGTCCTGAGGAGATGAGTGACTGTCTGATGGACGTGAAAGTCTGAAGATCTCACCCAGATTTTGGCCAGCAACCAGTCATACTCATCGTCACTGGGAAGGAAGATGGGATTGTCCTCTCCTGGTTTCTGATGCAGCTATGTAAAAGAAATCATGATCATTTTCAGAACTCATCAGTAATAATTTTATTGACAATCATAGGTGGCATTGTTCTTAAAGGGAAAGTTCACTCAAAAATGAAATTTACCATAATCATTTATTCTCCCTGATGTAGTTTGAAAGCAGAATAAGATATTTTGAAAAATGGAAGTCAATGGGTGCATTCTTCAAAATATCTTCTTTTTGTGCTCAGCAGAAAAAAGAAAGTCGAATAGGTTTCAAACAAGTGAAGGGAGAGTGAATAATAACAGAATTTAATGACTGTAATAGTGCGTGTGAGTTTGTATTGTGCATGTGGGAGGCTTCCGTGTTTGTCGTAATCTTTTCACACCCTTTTATTAAAATCAATATGACTTCCCTCCATGACTTCCTTCCTTTTTTCCCTGCACGGACTTACTACATTTCAAAATATTTGCCATGTAGTGCGTTTATAGGCTGTAATTACTGGAGTTTCATAAAGGCAGCAAATCCTTGAATAAAAATGACCATGGTTTTATTATAGTAAATCTGTACTAACTGATTGCTTTTAGGTTTTTTGGCAAGCTGATTACCATTTATACTAGTTTCTCTACAAATACCATGATTATTTTGTGTTTACTCAAAAAAATCTGCATATTAAAATAATTTTTGAAGCATCATGTGATACTGAAGACTGGATGGCTGCAGAAAATATTTCATAATGGGTTTTATTTATTTATTCTTAATATTTATTTATTTATTTATTTATTTATTTATTTATTTATTTAAAAAATAAGTTCCAGACTGGCAGAAAAGTGCAAAATATGATGCCGTCAATCTAAACAAAAATGTAAGATAAGGTGGCAAAAACTGCCTCTGGCTGTTGTGTTTAAGCTGATTAAGCTGTGTAAAGAGTCAGTTTACTGCAATGCATTTAGATATACATAGATATAGAAATATATACATACAGTGTATCTGGAAAGTATTCATAGTGCTTTACTTTTTATGTTACAGCCTTATTCCGAAATGGATTGAATTAATTTATTTCCTTAAAATTTTACACACAATACCTTATAATGACAATGTGAAAAAAAAACGTTTTTTTGAAATTGTTGCAAATTTATTAAAAATAAAAAAGCTGAAAAATCACATGTACATCAGTATTCACAGCCTTTGCCGTAAAGCTCTAAATTGAACTCAGTACATTCTGTTTCCACTGATCATTCTTGAGATGTTTGAGCAGCTTAATTGGAGTTCACCGGTGGTAAATTCAGTTGATTGGACATGATTTGAAAAGACATACACCTGTCTATATAAGATCCCAGGGTTGACAGTGCATGTCAAAGCACAAACCAAGCATGAAGACAAAGGAATCGTCTGTAGACCTCTGAGATAGGATTGTCTCAAAGCACAAGGCTGAGAAAGGCTACAGAAAAAATTCTGCTGCTCTGAAAGTTCCAATGAGCACAGTGGACTCCATCATCCATAAGTGGAAGATGTTTGGATCCACCAGGACTCTTCCTAGAGCTGGCCGGCCATCTAAGCTGAATGATTGGGGAGGAAGGGCCTTAGTCAGGGAAGTGATCATTCTGAGGGGATCCGATGGTCACTTTGTCTGAGCTCCAGCGGTCTTCTGTGGCGAGAGGAGAACCTTACAGAAGGACAACCATCTGTGCAGCAATCCACTAATCAGGCCTGTATGGTCGAGTGGCCAGACGGAAGCCACTCCCTGCCTAGAATTTGCCAAAAGGCATCTGAAGGACTCTCAGACCATAAGAAGCAAAATTCCCTGGTCTGATGAGACTAAAATTGAACACTTTGAAGTAAATTCCAGGCGTTACATTTGGTGAAAACCAGGCACCGCTCACTAGCAGGCTAATACCATCCCTACAGTGAAGCATGGTGGTGGCAGCATCATGCTGTGGGGATGTTTTTCAGCAGCAGGAACTGGAAGATTAGTCAGGATAGAGGGAAAGATGAATGCAGCAATGTACAGAGACATCCTGAATGAAAACCTGCTTCAGAGTGCTCTTGATCTCACTGGAGACTGGAGAGACGGTTCATCTTCCAGCAGAACAAGGACCCAAAGCACACCGCCAAAATATCAATTGAGTGGCTTCACAACAACTCTGTAAATGTCCTTGAGTGGCCCAGCCAGAGCCCAGACCTAAATCCTATTGAACATCTCTGGAAAGATTTGAAAATGGCTGTACACTGTCGCTTCCCATCCAACCTGATAGAGCTTAAGAGGTCCTGCAAAGAGGAATACAGGTAGGCAAAAATTCCCACAGTTGTGCCAAGTTTGTAGCATCATATTTAAAAAGGCTTGAGGCTGTAAATACTGCCAAAGGTACATCAACAAAGTTTTATGCAAAGACCCTTAATACTTGTGCACATGTGATTTTTCAGGTTTTTATTTTTTTATAAATTTGCAACAATTTCAAAAAAATTCACATTTACACTATTTTTCACATTGTCATTATGGGGTATTGTGTGTGGAATTTTGAAGAAATCAATGAAATTATTCTATTTTGGAATAAGACTGTAGCATAAAGAAAATATTTCATGAATCATACTTTCAGGATGCACTATATGTGCTTGTTTTCTTTTTATAGTTTTTTTTGTTTTGTTTTTTGTTTTGTGCCTAGATCAGATACCTGGATGGCAATCGGCATTATTTTGTTCTGACTGTTCTTATATAGCAGACACATGGGTGCCGCCAAGTACTGAAGGGTGCAAGGGTCTGTAGAATTGGCGGTGACACCATCCATTATCTCATAGTCAGCAATAAAGATGTTTCCTTCCTGTAAAAGGAAGACACAGCGTTTGCAAAACCATCCCAATTATGGAATAGTGAAACTGCCACTTTGTAAGGCAAGTTTATTTATACAGCACATTTCATACATAATGGTAAATCAAAGTGCTTTACATAAACAAGAATAAAAAAAACAGGAAACTAAAAATGATTAAATGAATTAAAAATGATTAAAAACAGATTGTGTGGCACGTCTTGCATACCTTGAGCTCCTCTTCCAGTGTGAGACCCCTCTCCAGACTGTCTTCCACAATGTTATGTGTGACTGGAAACTTGTCAGGAATTTCAGTGCATTTTTTGATGACCACTGGATTACAGCCGTTTAAGTATTGATATCCAAACATGAAGTCTTCTTTCCAGTGCTCCATCACATATTCTGAAAAGCAGAAACACACACAGCCAAATAAAAGCACGTTTCTGGTTAGCATATATCTAAAGCTTTAGCTAACGTTAGTGTGCGCTAAATTTGGGGACCAATTCAAACTATTAAAGAGCAAATTTACACCAAAATGAATATTCTGTCATCATTTACAGGGAAAATAGGGTATTTTAAAGAATGTTGGAAACTTTCAAAGATTGACTTTCTTAGTATTTGTTTTCTCTACAATGGAAGTGAGTGGTTACAGGCTTCTAATGTTCTTTAATTAGCTTCCAATGTAGATGTTGTATTTGCCACCGAATCATTGACTTCTGTAGTAGGAAAAACACATACTAGGAAGTCAAAGGTTACCAGTTTCCAGCATTCTTCAAACTATCTACTTTTGAGTTCAAAAAGGGGTGAAAACATGATGAAAGACTTTCATTTTGAGCACCTGCTTCGAATGTTATCACTTGATTGAATGGGTGTTTTCAGTGTTTATCAGCTGATAGATATGGGCCAGTAGGGGCCACTGTGCCAACTGGTAGGCTCAGAAGGCTGTAATCATCCATCCACATGGTTATTCAGCTATACTAGAGAAGACTCTAGATCTGTTTTATATTACTGTGATGGTTGGGTTTAGGGTTAGGGTAGGGGTAGACGTTAATAAAATACAATTAATGAGACATTTATCAAATAATATAAATAAATCTCGTTAACTTCCGGACGCAGCTGCATGTGAACTATAGCTGATTAACCATGTGGATGGATGATAACCACCTTCTGAGCCACAGTGGCCCCTACTGGCCCATATCTATCAGCTGATAACACCTATTCAGTCGAGGGATAACATTCAAATAGGCTGGTTTTGGGTGAACTATTCCTTTAGCTAATTATTAGGTACAACCTTTGTTGCACATTAAACACACGTTTAATTTGCTGCTTATTAATAGTTAGTAGTGTCATTAGTTTAGGATGAAATTGTTATGCAGCATAAGACAAAAAGTCAATAATATTTGGCTTATAATCACGTAGTTCAGAGGTCACCCAAATTTGTTGCTGGAGGGCCGGTGTCCTGGAGATTTTAGCTCCAACCCTAATTAAACACACCTGAACAAGCTAATCAAGGCCTTACTAGGTATACTTGAATCATCCAGGCAGGTGTGTTGAGGCAAGTTGGAGCTAAATCCGGCAGAGACATTGGCCCTCCAGGACCGAGATTGGTGACCCCTGACGTAGTTGATAAGAACTGGTTCCCAAAAGTGTTATCTTAAGCTTATTTGTTATTTCATTACAAATTAGAACAAATATGGAGTAAACTAAACACATCTAATACATTTTATGTGTAATCAAATTGTAATATTCCATATATTGTACAGGGTGTGTTGGAAAAGGATTATTGCAAGGGCGTAGGTTTGCACTAGACATTGGTGGGGACGGGTGAATCAAATAACACCCCCCCTCTCTCATTCCCCCAAGAATAAACAAGATTTATACATACAATTGAAGTCAGAATTATGAGCCCACTTGAATGATAAGCCCCCTGTTTATTTCTTTCCCAATTTCTGTGTACTGGAGAGAAGGTTTTCTCAACACATTTCTAGACATAATAGCTTTAATAACTCATCTCTAATAACTGATTTATTTTATCTTTGCCATAATGACAGTGAACAATATTTGACTAGATATTTTTCAAGACATTTCCATACAGCTTAAATTGAAATTTAAAGGCTTAGCTAGGTTAGGAAGGTAACCTAGGCAAGCTAGGTTAATTAGGCAAGTTATTGTGTAATGATGGTTTGTTCTGTAGACTATCGAAAAATAAATAGCTTAAAGGGGCTAATCATTTTGATCTTAAAATGGCTTTAAAAAATTTAAAACTGACAATAAATACTTAATCATAAATACTATTTATTAAGTTTCAGAACTGTAGCCAAGGGGTGTTTAGGTGGTCCGAAAGACCAAAAGTTGAATTATTATTATTATTAATACTATTATTATTATTATTGAATTGTTCTAATTATTCAAATGACCAAATTCTGACTGAGAAAAGTTAAATGTGCTGCTTGTATCTGAATGCAGCCACAGCCTCTTACATGACAGCAAGTAAAGGCACAGCCAATCAAGATGTCCATATGCGTTTTGGTGGCGAGAGGACTCAATGAGAGAATGTGATTTAATATTTTACAGTCTATGCATTTAATTCTCTCTGCTTGTCTAGGTTAATATTGATAGCGCAACTTTTTTTTAAAAGTGGATTAAATTATTGGTGGGGACATTGCAATGGTAGGTGGATATTGGTCGGGCGCGTCCCCTCTATCCACCCTACGCCCATGGATAATTGTGTATGCTCAATTCTTAACTAAAATACTCATAAAGATCTGCTACAGGTGTATGCTGGCAGTTCCAACCTGATATTGTGTTCTTAATTCTCACAAATATCCGCTCAAAGTCTGCGAAATCTCCCCATGAGGACTGGAACATGTGCATGAACTGGTTCACATACAGATTCTCGATCCTAAGGAATAAAGTATAGCAAAATAAGCAAACAGAAGTTGTGACATATTGACATATTATGTTGCATAACAAATAAATGAAGATATCTGGTACATTACAGTGAAGTGGTGAGCGAGTAAATTCTTACGGTATGTCACTAATTAGAACATTAGAACATTGCATTTTACATTTAGTCATTTGGCAGATGCCTTTGTGCAATGCGACTTACAATTGAGGAGACATTCAGCTATTGAACAAGATGCAGTACACACAGGAAGTTATACAAAGTAACTGTTAGTGGTCAGAGAATTAGGCGCTAGATCAGGGGTCGGCAACCCAAAATGTTGAAAGAGCCATATTGGACCAAAAAAAACAAAAAACAAATATGTTTGGAGCCGCAAAAAGTGTAAAGTCTTATATAAGCCTTATAATGAAGGAAACACATGCTGTATGTGTATATTGTTGTAAAAAAAAATACATGAGTGAAAAGAAGAGAGAACCCAGTCCAGGAGACTCGAAACAAGCAGAATTCCTTTATTGAGACGTGTTGGTTAATCTGCAGTCATACAGCGTCTTCAAGGTGTCCAATGTGTCTACAAGAGCCTAGGTCTGCAGTCTGCAAGTTCTTTCACAAGTCTCTCACAAGTCTCACACAAGTCTGAATTAGTCTGAATTAAGACAAAGATTTCATGGCTATATTGTGTTCTTAGGAGGAGGGGATATGGCTAAACAAAGCATGCAAATTAAGGGTTGTGGTCGGCAGGGTAAACTGCTTCTCAGGTCTAATCTCATCATGTTCTGGAGACAGAAACCGCCTGACCATTTGATCGAAAAGAGAAAACAATAGACACCCCATGCTGTGAAACTGACAATTTGCATTACTTTGGCTTAGCCTGTAATCAGAAAGATAAAGGTTAAATGTCCCTCCTAGCTGGGATGTTAATGAAATTATATAATTAAAAACCAGAGAATATACCTTTTCAGTTATACGTAGATTATTGTTCATTTGGAATTAGTTGATAGATATTTATATTTCCACAGTTCCCCCTTTGAGAGTTATTTAAAAACTCTCACAAAAAATATATAAATTTGTAAGCTTTCCTAAAACCATTCAATGGCTTCTGTTTGATAACAGAAGCCCCATCTTCTAGTCATGTAACTTGAAAAGTTACAGGCACATTTAAACTTATTCTGTGTCATTTCAATATCTACATAGATGTAAGTGTAGATTTCTAAAACTGTTCACACGTTTATGACAATCAGTTGTAATGTCATAAATCCTACATGATGACACAAAAATCATGTAGTTAAACTGCAGATCTTCTGAAAGTCCATGGCTTGTGAATAGTGTTCAGTCTTTTGTGAGGTGTGTTTCTTGTGGTTCTTCTCCAGCACAAAGTTGATCTGATGACTTCCTGTCATTTATGGATCTCCGTAGTGATGCTCTGGTTCAGAGTGTTTCTGAGAAGATGCAGTGTTTGTGTTTACCTGCACACAAGAAAACAAGGAAACAGCAGACCAGCAGTATTCATGCATAGACTTGTATGATCATACAGTTCATGTGTCTAGTTATTCAGGTGATTGTATAGTGGTTGTGTTAAGTTGGTGATCGTATAGTGTTGTGTATTTTCTGTCTCCTAATCTTAAAGTTATGACACCTATAAAACAGTGAGGTGAGGATAAATGGGGAAAAAGGGAGTCTTCACCACAGGGTGCGGCCCCTGAAGCCTGTTGCTTTCAGTTCTGCCCTGGGCTCCTCACTGGTTTGTGTGTCCTGTTCTGTCCCTGAGTGTGGTGGGCAAACTTTAAAATGTGTGACACAAACTATCATTCAATAAATATCAGTCCTATCAGACATCATAACATTGAATAGGTAGTGATTGAAAATATGTGTTAAACACATTCAAGGCTGTAAGTGGACTTAAGCAGAGTTCCCTAATACAAAGGAAGAAGTTTCCTTTGTGTCTTTTTACAAAGAGTCTTTCATCTTAATTGTAAATGAACTGGGACATTAAGCACTTACAGCCAAAAAATGGTTAGCATCTTTGTGGACAGCTCAATGGATTTAGTGATGAGGGGAGGGGTATGTTAAGGGCATTTAGCAAACTGTTCAGAAGTTGATTTACCCTGTTCATCTCTTTAAAATTCTTTTTATTCTTTCTACACTCCCTCATCCAATGTCCTTTTTTACCACAGTAATGACAACAGATATTTTTCCTAAGACATTTGTGATTTGATGTCTTTTCTGTGTTGACCTTAGTGGCGGCTGCTTCAAATCTGACTCTGTCTTTGATATAAGAGTCTCTTTCCCACAAAGCTAAACTGTTCATATTATTTCTGAGAGTGGTGGAAGACCAGGTGATGTTAAGAAATGGCAAAGCTTTTCTGTATTCAGCTGCAAGGCCATCTGACCAGATGCGGACTAGGGGTCCTTTATCATTTAGCACACTGTTCGAATTATCAGCTAATCCACTGTAAGTTATGGCGGATTGACAAAATCTCTCAGTGAATTCATTCACAGATTCATTTTTCCTTTGCACACAACAAGTCACTTTTGACCAGTCGATCTTTGGGCCAACAATGTTCTTTAGAGCTTTCAAAACACCCTCTCTCAAATCATCCTTACTGGCATGTTGTAATTTAGAGGTCACAGTATGCTCAAAACTGTTGAATTCAGATTCAGTGAGAATTTGAGACATTAGCTGGGTGACTTCTGTTAATGACATGTCATAAAGACGCATTTTGCTGTTTAGTGCTCTGCTAAACTCTGAAAAATTTGTGCGTGCTGATGGCAAGCTTTGAGACAGTCTGTCTATTTCTCTAGGTCCTAGTGTTCTGGAAACTGTTTGAATTTGAACAACAGAAGTGTTGTTGTGTGAACTCTCAGTTCTCTTAGATCTTCTGGCACCACAAACCTCTACTGAGCCTATAGGTAAATCGCTATCTGACTGGATGGAAATGTCTGTTTCAGAGACAATTTGTAAGTCAGGATGCTTATTATCAGGCTGACTAACCTCCTCAATGTCAATTTTTGATTTCTTTAGGTTCAGTTGTTTTGTTAATGAGGTTATCTTAGCATGAAGCTCTTGGATCTGTTTTTCTAATTCTGATTTAGCTTGAGCTTGTTGTTTAGCTCGAGATAAATTGAATTCTCTGTAGCAGCAGATGATGCCTTTAACATTGTTTTTGCGAATGCATGCATCAAGCACTTTCTTGCATTCTTCTAATGTCCAAACATCATCTGGGTCAATGCTAAATTTCTTTGTCAAATTTAGTCTGACTGACTCTGTTATTGAGTCCATGTGCTGTCGTAGCAGCGATTTGAAATCCTGATCTGACAATAAAGGAGTTTTTAAACTACCATTTTCAGTTGTAGTGATCAGTCTTGTATTCTGTCTGAACATTTTGTGAGCTTATTATCACAAAGTAAAAATACTAAAACTTTTCAGATGAAAGTGTAGTAATTTCTTTTCTGGCGAAACAGAGGGTAACAATATTAGCACATGTTGCTAAAACTTCCTGCCTGAACAAGATATAACATCAGTTAGCTTGTATAGCTAAACTTAAACTTCTCTGGTTGAACAGAGGGAAAACGAAATAAAAGAAAAGAAAATAGCGCATAAGGCTTAACTTCTCTAAAGAGAGGATAACTTTTTAAAAGAAAATAGCACGTAAGGCTTTACTTCTCTGTCTGAACAGAGGATAAACTGTTACTTCTCTATTGAAATAGAGGATAACTTTTTGTTAAACAAACCCTGCAGCTGTTTGTTAACTTTTCTCTGATGGAGCAGAGAATAACCATGTGTATAGACTGGTCTGTATGGTTCTTTTTAAAGAGTGAAACTCACCAAATCGAGGTTGAGCTGAAAAGATTCAGTCTGGAGTGATCTGATCTTTGTATTCAGGTCTTCAATGTTCATCAGGGTTGCAGTCAGCAAATAGTTGAGAATTTGTGACGTCCGCTGAGTGACTTCAAATTGCCGTTGAACTGAAGATTCCGTCTGAAGAAGTTTCCTTGATCTTGAAGGTTCAAGTTGAATTTCAGGTAGATTTCAGTCTTTTGTAGCAAATTGTACATGAGTACATGAGTGAAAAGAAGAGAGAACCCAGTCCAGGAGACTCGAAACAAGCAGAATTCCTTTATTGAGACGTGTTGGTTAATCTGCAGTCATACAGCGTCTTCAAGGTGTCCAATGTGTCTACAAGAGCCTACTAGAGGTCTGCAGTCTGCAAGTTCTTTCACAAGTCTCTCACAAGTCTCACACAAGTCTGAATTAGTTTGAATTAAGACAAAGATTTCATGGCTATATTGTGTTCTTAGGAGGAGGGGATATGGCTAAACAAAGCATGCAAATTAAGGGTTGTGGTCGGCAGGGTAAACTGCGTCTCAGGTCTAATCTCATCATGTTCTGGAGACAGAAACCGCCTGACCATTTGATCGAAAAGAGAAAACAATAGACACCCCATGCTGTGAAACTGACAATTTGCATTACTTTGGCTTAGCCTGTAATCAGAAAGATAAAGGTTAAATGTCCCTCCTAGCTGGGATGTTAATGAAATTATATAATTAAAAACCAGAGAATATAACTTTTCAGTTATACGTAGATTATTGTTCATTTGGAATTAGTTGATAGATATTTATATTTCCACAATATATAGTAGCTATATTAGCCTACTATAAAAATGACTAAGTTGGCTACAAATACATAATGAGCCTTCATGATTAAATAGCCACTGAAATCAAGTGGTTGGTCACCATCTGTGAACGGCTTTCCATGCTTTATTATCTCCCGGTTTGTTTACAACAGCCACCTGCCTGGCATCCCGCCCTGCTGATAGAAACCTGTGTCGCAGGCTATGACGCAAATCTTCGTTGACAGAAATGTTGAAATTAAATATTAACACTACACACTTTTACAGCATTTGAAAACGTTAAAAATGTTTGTCCTCCTATAGAAATCATATTAAAACAAAAATATATACTAACCTTCCCCATCTTTTTGAACATTTTTGAAAAAGCTTCAGGGAGCCACAAGGGCAGCGCTAAAGAGCCGCATGCGGCTCTAGAGCCGCGGGTTGCTGACCCCTGCGCTAGATTAAAGGGGAGTGTTTTTTTTTGTAGAGAGAAGAGTGAAGTGTGTTTCTACAGGTGGTTTGTCAAGTCCACTCACCTGTGTAAAGCACACTGTATAAATGCATAGTAGAAATTTTTATTTACTTTTTTTGTTTACATTTTTTTATTAAAAACATTACTCTAAAAGAATATACTTAAGTGCAAACTGCATGGAAAGTTTTGACTTAATTTGAGAATTTTTGCAATAAATTGAAAATGTATTATAGTGGAATTTTACATTACAAACTTATCTGATTTACTTAAGTGTTTAAATCAGGGCTCTGCATATTTTAGTTCCAATTAAACACACTTGAACCAGCTAATCAAGCTCTTTCTAGGTATGCTATAAAGCTCCAGGCAGGTGTGTTGAAAGAAGTTGAAGCTAAACTATGCAGAACACCGGCCCTCCAGAACCAGGACCAAGTTTGGACACCCCTGGTTTAAAGGCAAGGCAAAGCAAGGCAAGTTTATTTATATAGCAGATTTCATACACAGTGGCAATTTAAAGTACTTTACATAAGCAAGAATAAATGAGACAAATATAAAAAAATAAAATCAAATAATAAAATGGATGAGATCCTATGGTGCCCAAACCAGACCCCCTCCAGCCGATGGCTGCACTTTGAAATTCTGTCCATAAAAATTATGAACAAAATTGGTGACAAAGGGCAGCCCTGCCGGAGTCCAACATGCACTGGAAACAAGTCTGACTTATTGCCTGCAATGCGAACTAAACTCCTACTCTGTTCATACAGGGACGAGACAGCCCTTAACAGAGCGCCTCTGACCCCAGTCCCAGAACACCCTCCACAGAATGCCTTGAGGGACACGGTCGAAATGCCTTCTCTAAGTCCACAAAACACATGTGGACTGATTGGGCATACTACCATGAACCCTCGAGCACCCTGGTGAGGGTATAGACAAATCATAATTAAAATAACTAAAAACATACAATGCTAAGCATAATTCTAAACATTTTCAGTGACTAAAAAAATATTTTATTGAATATATGTGTTTACTTTATTTATTATCCACAAGTGTAAATTTACCTTAATCTTCACCACACAACCACGTCAGCGTTCACATCACGCATATCACAGAAAAAACAGGCAACACAAATACATTCAATATCATCACATAAATCACATTAAAAAGCTCAGTTTAATAAATCTGTTTTGTTCAAATGCATCAAAATATATAATATCCATGTTCACTGAGAAATGGATAAAATATAAATTTGTATAGGGTGTACTCATACTGTATGCCGAGCATTGTATGTACTTTGATATTTTTATTTGAAACGTGAATAAAGTGTAATGCCACTGACAAGTGTTTATGCTAAACTAGGATATATTTAAACAATTTTAACTGAAACTTAAAGATAATGAATTTAAATAAATGAAAAGCTGAATAGTTAAAATGATAATGAAGAACATGCACTGATAATGTTTCATTAAAAGGACAGTTCACCCAAAAAGTTTATATCTGTCATAATTTACCATTTTTATGTGTTTTAAACCTTATGCGTTTCTTCTGTTAAACAAACAAACAAAACAAAAAAGCTTTTGAAAAAAAGGTGCCATTGACTTTCACAGAAAGTTTTTCCTACTGTGGATGTCAATGGTTGCTGGTTTCTAACATTCTACTTTTACGTTCAACAGAAAAAATGATGATGATAATGACTTTGAATCACTTGAGGGTGATTAAATAGTGTGTACATTTAAATTTTTTGGGTGAACTATCACTTCAACCTAGGCCAGAAATTAAAAAACATTTTTGGTAACACTTTATTTTGATGGTCCATTTGAGTATTAGTAGACTGTCTGCTTAATATCTGTTGATACTGCTCCTTCAACAGATATTTAACTTACTATAAGAAACTTAGCAAGTACATGTTGACTTACACCAACCCTACTACTATAAGTACAGCCTACTTATAATCTAATGAGAATTAGTTGGCATGTAGATGCAATGTAACTTAATTCAACAAACGGACCAACAAATGCAGTGTGACCAATTATTTAAATCTTGACAAAATGTTAGACCTGGTTTTATGGACAGGATAGGGCATAGTTCATTTAGGACTTTTAAGTCATTTATTTTTTTACATTGCTGACGCGCATCTGGAGATAAAACAAACAGACTAAAGTAATTTAGGATCAATCAGTGCAAGTTTCTTTCAGTTAAAACAGGTCTGACTTATATTTTAGTCTGGGACTAAATTTAAGCCTTGTCTGTGAAACTGGGGGAATGATTCTTAATAAGTAACTATTTTAATTTAACACGAAAAATACACATTTAAAGGTGTACTTGAGTGTATTAAGAAACATTGTCATGAAAGCGCACTCTTTAAATTCTTTAACATTATATTATAATGTGTTCATGCTGTCCCAACACGAATCGATTAAGTTGACTTAACACTTTTAACAAATTTATGTGGATTGAACATAGAAAAATTAAGTTGTCCCAATGAAATCTCAAGAATTGTGTTGATTCAGCTCATTTAAATAAGTAGTTTGAACAGATAAAAAAAAATGTTTTTGAGTGAATGTTTTAAATCTTCTTCTGATGATCTGACTGTCAACGTGCTTGCAGATCTGAATGGTCAACACGTACATGACTGAGAAAAACACTTCTCAAAACTATTTATATCAACGGCACAATCTACTGAATTTCCCCCTTTTAACAGTCACGCTCTTACTTTAGTCCACACCAACAATGTTCATCAAGCCCTTGCAAATGAATAATACCGCAAAAACAATGCATGCTTGTGTTTGGAGCTTGTTCATAGAGATGCATGCAAACAGAGGTCTGAGAGAAGCATGCAAATGCGCATAAATACAAACAGATGGGCTCTTTATGGAAATAATGCAGAGTAATGAGATACGTGCAGAATCGCCAGACAAAGAGGATCTTACGCTTTGCTGTAGTTAAGCACAAAGTCCACTCCTTTCTCGCTGTCAAACTGAATGTCCCGTGGAAGCTCTTTATGGGCTTTGCAGTCGATACTCATCGGGAAGCCAGGATGCCATTCTTTCCATCTTTAACATGAAGCACAACATCACGTTACAAATTATATATAACATTTCACTTACAACAGCAAAAAAACTCTATAAATCTGATCTATGGCATTCATTAATTTTTCTTCGTCTCAGTCCCCTTATTCATCAGGGGTGGCCACGGCGGAATGAACTGCAACCTTATACAGCGTATGTTTTACATGGGATGACCTTGCAGCTGCAACCCAGTACTGAGAAACACACTCATTCACACACACACTATACATCATTCACAACACTACAGACAATTTAGCTTATTCAATTTACCTATAGCGCATGTCTTTGGACTTGTGGGGAAAACCAGAGCTCTCAGAGGAAACCCAAGCAAACACTGGAAGAACATGCAAACTCCACAAAGAAATGCCCACTGACCCAGCTGGGGCTTGAACCAGCGACCTTCTTGCTGTGAGGCGACAATGCTAACCGCTGACCCACCATGTCACTCCTCTGATAAATGGCAATACATGCAATTTACATATATGACACTCTAAAAAAGCGATTATTTACTTTACTTTAAAAAAGTGAGTAAACCTGTTGCCTTAAAAGCGGCAAGTTGAAGTAAATCCATTGTAACTTCAAACTATTAAGTTGATTTAACTATAACTTTAAAATTCTGCATATACTTAATTTACAAAGGGCAAACCGATGGCCTGTAGGTAGTGCTGTCGCCTCACAGCAAGAAGGTTGCTGGTTCAAGCCTTGGCTGGGTCAGTTGGCATTTCTGTGTGGAGTTTGCATGTTCTCCCCGCATTCACGTAGGTTTCCACCGGGTGCTCCGGTTTCCCCCACAGTCCAAAGACATGCGGTACAGGTGAATTGGGTGAGCTAAATTGTCAATAGTGTATGAGTGTGAATAAGTGTGTGCGGATGTTTCCCAGTGATGGATTGCTACTGGAAGGACATCTGCTGCGTAAAACATATGCTGGATAAGTTAGCACTTCATTTCGCTGTGGCAACCCCAGATTAATAAAGGGACTAAGTTGAAAAGAAAATTAATGAGTTAATTTACATAAAAATTGTAAGACAGTGGTTTTACTAACATTTTTGTAACTTGGAACTGTTAAGTTGATTTAAGTTGTGTAAGTCCTAGTTCATTTACTTAAAAATGATGCAATGGGTTTACTCATATTTTTAAGTAATGTCAACTAATCGTTTTAAAAGCAACAGGTTTACTAACTTATTTTAAGTAAAGTCAATTATTTTTATACAGAGCGAGGGATCATCTTTGAATTTCACATATATAAAATATATCACATGAGATTTACAGTACAAATGTATTTAAACCATTTTAATTACAAATGTGTGATCAAACATATTACCTAAAACATTAAACATATGTATATACATACACACAGTTGAAGTCAGAATTATTAGCCCCCCAGGCTCCAGTGTGCATGTTCAATAATATCACTTTTATATATATAAAAAAAAAAAAGAATAAGTCCATTTCCTGGTCTTTAAAGTAAAATATTTCAACACAAACAAAAGAGGCTGAGAAAATGTCAAATATTTAAATATTTTAATATATTAAGCTGATAAAAAAAATGAATGAATGAATGATTGTTCTTTTCTAGCAATGTATAAGATTTCCATGAGAATATTGTCAATATTAATATTATAATTAAAACATGAATAAAAGTTTATACTTTTAAAAACAGGATGTCCTAGTGTGGTCAGACTTGCGGAAGCAATGGTATCATGTAACTGCTGAAAAATTAGTTTTGTGAGTAACGTGATAGTTCATCCTAAAAATTAGAATTTCTTCCCCATTTGTTTTCTTCTGTTGAACACAAACTAATTCTGTTTGTTTACAATTTTTTGCAGAATCGAAAGGAAACCACAAGTGACCACCATTTTGATTGTCAACACAACCATATGGGTCCTCCATTTTCTTTATAAACAAAATATGTCAGCTCACGTTTGACAAGAACTAACAAGAAGACCCTGCAGAGGCATTAAAGGTTATCATGTTCAGTTGGAGTTGCACAGGTGTAATAAGGTGTTGCCCATGTCCCATGCTTTGCTTTGTTCTCAGTTCTCCCTGTGTTTTCACTGCGTTTCACTCTCACTCACCCCAGTTGGTGACCTTGGACACTCATTGTCTCCTCCACCTTTCAGCCTTTTGTCTGCTCTTTATTTTTAAGCCCTTCTGTTTCACTCTTGTTGGCCTGTTGGTGAAGTTTTCTCATGTCTAGGTTTTCCTTGTTCTTTGTTTTCATGCCTCACCTATGCTGCTTGTGCTTTTGTACTTATGTTAAAGGTGGAACGAGTGATTGTCTTCAGAATCTAATTTTGTTTTGCTTGTTGTAAGTTTCTGTAAGCTTGTCCAATCAAAACGTTCGGTCCGAAAAATACAATAGGCTGTCCCTGCTTATGTGAATAAATTAAATTGCATACCTCTGCGCATATTATTGTACTATTTTGCAGAAAGAATTACATCATCGGCGTGTTCAAGGATGCAGTTCAGACAGAGAATAACAGGTAAAAATTAGCATCCTATCTTCTTTGGTTATAGTTATTGTAATCACTAAAGGTTTTATGAAGTGAATCATATGTGCTGTTTTGTAATGATAGTGTCTAATATGCATTCATATGTTCAGGAGGCCTGGCTATGGATAGGAATTTTCTGGGAGAGACATAGGCTTTCAGTTCTATCAGGCTATAGACACTCCACTAAGCCACACCCGAAAACCACCATTATTTTAAGAAATCCACTTTTGTTACTGTAATGGAAATTCATTTTTAGATGAGCTTTATATGTTAGAAACTTGTCTAAGACTCATTATTACATGTGTGTGTATCTGTGTTCTCCATATGTTCATCATAAAACCTATGTGTACATTTTTATAGATAACTATATTTCTTTAGGTGAAAGCTTTTTCATTATCCTAAGAAGGATGTGTGGTTGTTATGAGCATATCGCACGAACAGCAGAAGACGCCTGACGTAATTGTAGATGAGGCCTTATTGGGAGTTGACCTCGTAAGCAGTACAAACCAGATAAAAGGGTGAACACACTTGGCTTTAGTATCTCACTCTGCAGAAACTGTTGTTGCTGTATGACAGTGATCTTCTTTATAAAGAATAAAACTTGTAAAAGACATCCCGGGTAAGACTTTGTTTCTTGACCACTGAGAGAGCCTCCTTAGAGAAAATAGCCACTACAGTTACACTTAGAAATACCATAAATTAGCGTGCAATTCATAACTTTATAATCTGCCATTACCTGCTAATTTTCAAGGTCATGTGATTAAAAGCTAACTTGAACTTAGTAATGGACACTTTATTGTGCTTTAGCCCAGGTCTCCAGACTCATTTTTATGTGATAACTTTCTTGTTTTCCAACTTGCAATTGACCCTTCGCTAAGCCACACTCAAAAACCCCCATACACCAATCGAGGCTTGACAACTATAGCTAAGCGCTGGCAGTCTGTCAAGCTTTCGAGTAAGGGGAACAAGCCAAAGCGTGATGCATATGGATTGTGCAAATCTGACACCTGGGGCTCTATTTTGACGGTCCATGTGCAAAGTAGGGTGCAAAAGTAGAGTGCAAAGCAGGGTGCAAACGCTTTCAGGGCGTGTCAGAATCCACTTTTGCTATTTTAAGGAGGAAAAAATCCACTTTGCGCCGTGGCGCATGGTCAAAAAGGGTTGAGTTATAGGTGTGTTTTGAGAATAAACCAATCAGAGTCTCATCTCCCATTCCTTTTAAGAGTCAGTTGCGTCGTGCCATAAGCGCATTTGCTATTTACATGACGACTTTGTATGTGGAAAAACTGAGCGTCTCACTAGCAAGAAAACAGTTAAACAGAGCATCTGCAGCGTGAGAATAAGAGATAAGGCATCTCATAATCTACTTTCATTTGCGCTCTTGAGGATAGGGAAACCTTGCACGCACAGACATCAATTAGCCGATAAATAATTAATTTTGTTTGTTAAGCGCAAAGATTTGTTTCAAAACTATTTCTAAATTCAGTTCTAATTTCCAGCAAACGAATAAATGAATAATAATAACGAAATGTGGTCAAAAAACTGAGTTACATGCTGTGCCCCACATGGTTTAAAACCTGACAGGTGGGCAAATCTAAGCTTGTTTTTAATAAAACAAATATAAATATGGATATAATAAATAATACTGCTAATAATAATATTATTATACAAAAGTAAATTATTATGAATGAACTGAAAAAGCCCCCCGAGATGAAGAAGACATGAAGGCAGTGGTTTTAAAATGTATGTAGGCTAGAAAATAATATGTTTTGTAAAATTTTAATCCTTTATATTTATATCCTATATATTTCCTTATTATATCCTATATATATCCTCAATATTTTAATTATTTTCATATGTAAAGATATTTGCATATTGCTCTACATCTTGTGTGTATTAAGCAGTGGGTAAGGCGCATAACTAACACACTCTGGGCTGGACAATAGACCAGCTTTGTTCTGGTCTATTGAAAAATCTATTATAGTTTCTCAAAATAGCAACACACCAGCAATGCGCCTCAGAACGCCTTTCTTTTTAGACCAGAATACCTATGGGCGCTAATATGAGCGCAAATACATTTGCTATTTAAACAGCGTGACGCAAAACGTCAAAACGACTCTTGCGCCAAGCTGAAACTAGCAAACAACTATTGTGTCGCACCTTGGGCCACATTGTGCCAGGTGTATGATACACTGTAAAATAAAAAACTAATTTTACAGCAAATATCTCTAAATTCTTTACAGTATTTTTTTTGTCATTACAAATTATATTCAAAGCTTGATAAAATGACAAACAATCTCACTAAATTAATAGTTTGACTTTCATTTCAGGTACTTTATCATTAAAGACAAATTAATGACATTTTTGTTTTTTATACAGGGAAATTACAGTATTGTTTATACAGTATTTTTTCTGTTATTTTAAATTATATTCAAAAGTTTGTAAAAATTACAAACAATATCTGTAAATTAACAGCTTGACTGTTATTGTAT